TGGTCTGCCGGCGGGACGAAGAAGCGGCTGCCGGTGTGCGCGAGTCGGCGGTGGCGGCACAGCTGTGCGAAGGCCCTGTGGCAGGACGAAGTCAGTGTGGGGACAGCAGCCAGGCGGGGCCTGGCAGGTAACGTGGCTCTGTCCTGGGGACAGTGAGTGGCCCTGCCAGAGGGCACTGCCTGTGTCTTAGAGGCTCCCTCTGGCCCCATGGCAGGCAGGGTGCAGGGGCGCAGGGCCCTGGAGGGTTGGGGCTGAGCATCCCCAAGGCCAGGGCAGGGGCGCCCTAGTGGGGCGCCGAGGCCGTGTCGGGACGCACCCCCTCAGTCCTGGCAGCCCTGGCCTCTGAGCGGCGGCTTCCCTTTTTTCCTCTCCAAATGAGGCCAGCGGAGCCCGAGGGCACCCTCGGCCAAGGGCTGGCCATGAGCCCCCAGAAGCCTGCTCTGGGGACCCAGTGCAGTGAGCCCAGAAAGGTCCCTGTGCTGGGGGTGGACGTGCAGACGCTGATGTCACCAGGCGGGTCAGATGGTCTCTGTCAGGAGCAGAGCCTGGTGGCCTGTGCAGCCGGTACTGGGCAGGGCGGGCGGGCACTGGTGGGGTCCAGCTGGGTGCAGGGCGGGTGCTGACCTGGCTCCCGCGTTTGCTGGGGACCCCTGGCTGACCCTGCAGGGCCGCCCCTGCTCGGGGCCAAGACATGGACGTCCTTAGACCCTGGGGACCACGGGGCAGGGTGTGTTCTGTCTTGTGCCGCCCAGGCCCCGCCGCCTGCTGTCGCTGCTGCCAGCCCTGAGGTGCGTGGTGACTTCTGGTGTCCCTTCTGGTGACTTCCAGTCTGTTCAGTGGGAATCGGGAGGAGCCCGGAGGCATCTTCTCTCTCTGATGCTCCTGTCTCCTCGGCTCCGGGAGCGGGCAGCCAGGGCTCCCTCACCCCTCCAGCAGTGACCTGTCTCTCAGAGCTGGGGAGGAGGGTCACTGCATGGGGACAGGCCCACCTGGGTTCCGGGCACTGGGTGGTCCTTCCTGCTTTTCAGCCAAGCAGCTCCTGGTTGATTCCTGGGAGCTCTTTGCATATGGCGGGCCCTGCCATCTGTGGCCGAGCATGGGCAGTGCGCTCCACCTCCTCTCGCGCCGTGTTGGTTTTCCACGGTGACCAGCTTCCCTCTGGGCTTCCTGGGTATGCCGTAGGTATGGGAAGCCCTTCCCTGCGCTGGGGTTGTCTAAGGTCTCTTCCAGCTAGTGGCCCTTCTCCTGGGGTGTCCTGGGGAAGCTGCAGGGGCTGCGCTGACCAGGCCGCTCCTGGTGGCTCTTTGCTGACCTGGGCCGTGCTCTGGACCGTGGCTGAGGGTCCCCTGGCTGCGTTCTCCGATCCTGCGCGTCTGGGCCGTGTCCTGGTGCAGCAGGGCATCTGTGTCCTTCTCGGCTGGCAGCCGGCTCTCTCCTTGCCTCCTTGGGGCTTGGACGCCCTTCGACGCGCCGCGTGCTGTGTGGCACTGTCGTGGCTCTGGACGGAGCCCAGGCCTCGTGTGCTCGGTGGGCTCTGGCTGAGCCACATCGCTGGTCCATGGATTTTCCTTGCCTTAAGGCGGTGGAGGCAGTGGCCAGAGCTGCAGCGAGCACCGGCCGCCTGCGGGGACTCCCCAGCAGCCAGCATCACTGCTGTGTGGGATTCCGCGAGGCCCGGGAGTCAGCTGTGCCCTCTGGACAGGGCAGTGTGTTTCTCCGGGAGGTGCTGCAGTGTGGAACTGGACGCTGGGTCAGAGAGCACCGCACAGCGCCCCGCCTCACTCTCGCTGTGGCCACCCCACACCCTGCAGGCCACCTTGCCTGGGGACTGGACAGCTGAGCTAGCGGCAGCGTCAATGGCGAGGCCCTAGGCGTGGGAGCTTCCCTGAGTGGCAGGAGGCCGAGCTCCAGCTCCAGGCTTGGGGCCCAGCTCTGCAGGCCGCTCTGTCTGTGGCGGTGCCCAGCGTGTGCGCTGCGCAGGGAAGGGTCTCGGAGCCTGGGAGTCCAGACAGGGCAGTCCTGCCTGCTTGCCCTCAGGGCAGGACCTCATGGCGGTGGCCTCCTGTGTCCTCCTGGCAGAAGTGTGAGCCAGAGTGACCTCCCAGGGCAGGGCGGAGCCAGAGGGTCTGGGATCCAGGCCAGGATATTTTTTTCTTTTTGGTACCCAGATTGAACCTGGGATGCCTCTCCACTGAGCCCCATCCCAGCCCTCTTAGTTTTTATGTAGACAGGGTCTCGCTGAGGCTGGTTTCAAATTCACGATCCTCCTGCCTCAGCCTCCCATCACTGGGATGGCAGGCGTGCGCCGCGGCCTTCTGTTGGTCCTGGGGTGGAGCCTCCGGGAGCTTCATCCCCAGCCCATTTTGTTGTATTTATTTATTTTTGAGACAGTGTCCTGCTAAGCTGCCAAGCTCATCTTGAGCTTGCAACCCTCCTGCTTGTGCTTCCTGAGACTCTTTTTTTTTTTTTTTTTTTTGTGGGGCCGGGGTACTGAGGATTGGACTCAGGGGCACTCAGCCCTATTTTGTATTTTATTTAGAGACAGGGTCCCACTGAGTTGCTAAGTGCCTTGCTGTGGCCTGGGCTGGCTTTGAACTCGCAATCCTCCTGTCTCGGCCTCCCGAGCGTGCGCCACAGCCCCGTCCTCCTGCCTCAGCCTCCCGAGAGGTGGTGCTCTCCGAGGAGCTGACTTGTCCCCGTGGTGCACTGATCCCAGCTGAAGGGATCCTTGCAGCCCCCGCCACCACCTGCCCGGCCCCACCTCTGCCTTGCTCTCTCTGCTGGGGAGGGCCACCAGGGCTGTGGGCGCACTGAGGACCCGGCTTCTGGAGCATGAACCGGGGACTGCTCAGACCCCGCACCCTGGCACCGTCCAGTCTGCCAGCGAGCAGCGAGCTTCCTGGGGACCTGCGCAGGTCAACTGGGAATGGGCCGACGGCTCCCTCGGCCTCTTTGGTCCTCCTGCTGTCCCTGTGGCCACCCATGCTGCTCAGGAGCAAGAGTGGACTCTGCCCGTCAGGCACTGCTGGAGGAAGCCCAGCTCCAGGAGGGGTGCCGGGAGCACCCCACCCCAGGGCCGCTGGAGGGGCATCTGCCTCTGCTCTGCTGAGGACAGGGCTACGAGAGGTGGCCAGGCCCAGGCCCTGGGACCCTGCCCAGCAGTGCCCTTCCCAGGCCGATGGGGGGACCGCGGAGCCCGGTGCCCGGCTTCCTGTTTACCACTGGAACCGGTGGGGAAGCACGTGTCCACCCGCCCCGTCCTGTCCCCAGGGCCTGCGCCCCCTCCCGGGCGGCCCCTGTGGCTCCCTTCCTGCCTCTGTTCCCAGGACAGCTTGAGGGGACTCGTCCCTCAGTCTGGCCTGTCGCGCGGTCCCCGGCGTCCCTCTTGTGGGTGTGTGGCTATCCCACACACTGTCTGACACCGGGCCCCTCCGCCCTGGAGAGCGGGCGTCAGGGTGGGTACCCCCGCGCTCCACTTGCCAGATCTGCCCCCGCCAGGCCTGCCAGCTGCCCATGCTCACGGGACCCCCAGGCCAGCGTCAGGGTCCGTGTCGAGGCTCACAGAGCCTGCCCTGGCCCCCGGCACCACCCGGACAGAGCCGTGCCCCCACCCACCCTGTCTGGTCCCCTTTGACACATACGGGGCTGTGCCCAGCCAGGGCAGGGTGCATGGCGGGCCTTCTGTGTGCCCAGCCAGGGCAGGGCACTGACCGGCTGAGGACGCACATGACCAGGGTCACTCTGGGTGTGGAAACAGGTGTGCCAGGGTTGGAGGCTCTGCAGCGACAGGCCAGCCCAAGAGGGCCAGCAGGGCAGCGCTGACCACCTGTCCCCAGTGTCCCTCCTCCTTCAGGACCCTGGGCAGGTCAGTCCCACGTCCCAGGCCCAGGCCCCTCCTCTGCTCTCTGCGCTGCCCGCCTGCCAGGCCTGATGAGTTGGGAGGGCCTGGGGCTGAAGCCCACTCCTCGTGCCCTGGTCCCGCCTGCCCACAGGTGGTCCTTGCCCAGTGGGAAGAGTGTGCCTGCTCCTGGTGGCTTCAGGGAGGGGCTGTGTCTACTTGAGGCCTGTCCCAGCACTTGGCCCTGGTCAGATCCTCTCGCCTCCTTGACCATCAGTCTCCTCTTCTCAGAAGGAGGAGTTAGGAGGTCCACTCGAGTGTCCTGGGAGGAGTCCGGGCCAGGCTGTGGTCTGTGGCTTGTGCGTCGGGCCCTGGGTTCCACCCGCAGCGGCTAGCCGGTGCCTCAGGGTGAAGGCGCCACCTTCTGGTCCTGCAGCCCCTCCGCCCTGAGCCCTGGCGGACACTGCCTGGTAGCCTTCCTGCACCCCCCTCCTGCCCAGAGTGCCCTGCCCTGGGGCACAGACCGGCCAGGGTGGCCTCCTCCGCAGCCAGAGGCTGCCAGGGAGCAGGGCAGGATGGAGGTCCCTTCTGCCCGCAGGGGCTGTCTGTGCTCAGCCCAGGGGCCCGGCCAGTTCCCACTGACCACAGCTCCCCGACAGCTGCCCTGGCCCTGGGGACCTGGCTGTGGGCTGAGCTCCCTTCTGTCACTTGATCTCCCTGTGACCCCGGGACCCAGCGTCTCGGCCGTGGTGGGTCAGGTGTGTGCACAGTGCAGCCAGGTCCCCATGCTGCCCGAGGCTGACAGTCCCCGGCCTGGGCCACCTCTCACCTGCGCTGGGACCCCAGCCCCCAGTTCAGGGTGACGGTCCAGTCCTCGTGACCTGCACTCTCCCGGCCACCCAGTCCACGCGGCCCACGTCTCCCTGACGTTGGCCCCTGGGGTCTTCTAGGGTCCAGGAGCCCAGCAAGGGTCAGCCTGGCAGGGGCTCCTGGTGACCGTGGAATGGCTTGGGGACAATTCTTGGTGATGGGATGACCAGGGAGAGGTCCTGGTGACGGTGTGGGATGACTGGGGACCGGGGTGGCTCCTGGGGATGACTGGGGACCAGGGTGGCAAAATGGCGGGGCATCTGCAGGCTGAATGGCGCTCTTCTCCCCTCAGGTTCTGCACAGAAGAAGTCGGGCTCGTCCGAGGTGAGTCTCCCGGGGTGAAGAGGCAGGGCGGGGCCGTGGTCCTGGGCGGCTCACCGCCAGGCCGGGCGCCGTGGGGGGCTGTGGGCAGTGAGCCCGAGTCTGCCCTGCAGCGTCGAGCAGGGACGCGCCCCGCAGGTGGCCAGGAGGGTCTGCCCGGCTGAGCCAGGCGGCCGAGGCCGGGCCTGCACCCCGAGCTGCAGCTTGGTCCGGGCGCTGCCATGAGTCCCGGGGAGGTCCGCGGCAGTCGTCCTCCCCAGTGTCTGTCCCTTTGTGCCCTACCCCACCTGCCCACCCCTCTGTCCCCTCCTGGAGCCTCCCAGGTGTCCTGGATCTCAGCCATCGGTCCAGCCCTCAGTGTCGGGAGGCCGCGTCCTGGGCAGCAGTGGGAGCCAGGCCTACTTCCCAGGAGGCCCAAGGAGCTGCCCTGACAGCTGGGCAGCAGAGCCCACGTGGCCACCGTGTGTCCACCCGGGCCTCCCCGCTCTCCGGCCCTTGGTCCCCGACAACCCCCCGGGGCAGGGAGAGCTCTTCCACCTGGCCAGGGACCCCTGCTACACGTTCGACTTTGGGGTGGCCCCTGGGCACCTCCAGGGCCATCAGGGCCATCTGGAGGAGTGACGTGCTGTGGGCACAGTGCCCTGGGGACTCGGGTGTCCAGCCCTGGAGAGCTGCCCCCTGGTGGCCAGCAGAGAGAACCCGCTGAGCAGGGCTGGGTGGAGGCCAGGCACCCGAGGACCGGTAGAGGTGGACGGGCGCCCTGAGTGGCACAGGATGGGCACTGGTTCGAGGTCAGTGATGGCCAGAGAGGCCGCGACCCGTCTCTGCCCCTCCTCCCCGCTGGCTGTGTCCCTGCAGGCTCCCCGGAACAGCAGGGAGTCCTGAGGGGTCAGTGCCCCGTCCCCACCTGCTGGGACAGCTCGGCCTGCTCCCCATGCAGGGGCCTGCTCCAGAGGCACTGCCCCGGGATACGCGGCTCTCCTGAAGCAGGAGCCGCCAGGGGCCAGGCAGTGCCGCCCAAGACCTCCCCGTCCCCGTCCCTGGGGCTGCCCGTCCTGCCAGCTTGCCATGTCCAGAGTTGGGCACTGTGGGCCCCTGGACGGGCTTCCTGCTCTGCCTGGAGCCCACCGTGTCCCACCTGGCCTGGGCCCAGGCTCCTATAGGCACAGTAACTGGCCCCTCGCCAGGGCTCGCAGAGCACAGGCCACCTCGGCCACTCAACTCCTGTTCCGTTGTCCCCAGGCCCCGTCAATGACAGGACAGCCCGGCCCTGGCCACGGGAAGAAGCTGGGTCATCGAGGCGTAGATGCCTCTGGAGAGACCACCTACAAGAAGGTTCGTTCCTACTCTTCGTGGTGGGCTGGCTGGGGACATGCAGTGCCCAGGCCGTCTGTGTCCACTCTGGCACACGGGTCAGGTGTGGGTGTGGTACCAGGGTGCGGCCTTGGCAAAGGCTGGGCCTGAGGGAGGCCCTGTGTGCGCCGTCCTGTCAGGTGACCTGCAGGCCTGGGACGGGCGTGCAGGTCTGGACCAGGGGTGACTGGGCTTGGACTGCAGGGGACACAGAGCGAAGAGCCATGTGCCGCTCCCTATGTGGCCTTGGCTGGCACAGGGCAGCCCAGGTGGGAGCCCGAGGCCCACAGTTGGCACTGCCCACCTGCCATCAGAGCCACAGAGCACACGCAGCTGGGCGTCTCTAAGCCGTGCCCCGAGGCAGTCCTGGTGGGGCGCAGTGGCCCTGCCTGTCGACCCAGCCACTGGGCAGCTAGCGCGGAGGAGCGGCAGGCGGGAGCCCGGCCTCCGTGGCCTAGCCAGACCCTGCTTCAGAACGGGACAGGGCTGCACGTGGCTCAGCCGTGGACCCTGGGTCCAGCCCAGCACTGCAAGACAGGGGAGCGCGAGGGCAGGCGGGCTGGGGTGGCTCTGGGGGCCGTGGCCGGCGCCTGCGTGGCTCTGTGCGGGCCTGGGCTCCATCCGGCACTAACCCGTGGCCGTGGAGGGAGCCCGCGGGGCCAGGACGGCCTGCTGGCGTCGGGCTCCCTGGACCCCAGCAGGCGGCAGAGTCTCGATGGCACTGTGTCCCCGCAGACCACCTCCTCCACGCTGAAGGGGGCCATCCAGCTGGGCATCGGCTACACCGTGGGCAACCTGAGCTCCAAGCCCGAGCGGGATGTGCTCATGCAGGACTTCTACGTGGTGGAGAGCATCTTCTTCCCCAGGTGGGCTGGCCGGGGCCTGGGCTCTCCTGGCATCCCAGCCTTGATGCGGCCCTCCCGTAGCCAGGAGCGGCTGCTGCTGGACCATGGGCCTGGCGCGGTGGCTTTTTAAGCTAGGATGGTGGTACTCGGGCGGCCCGGCAGAGCCTCGCCTGGCATGCGCCAGGCCCTGGGTCCAGCCCCAGCACCACAAAAAAGGAGAGGTGGAAGCCTGTTTCTCTTCCACCTAAAGGTGCCTGTAGGCCATCCCTGGGGCTGGTCAGGAGGTTCCAGGGTGTTGGAGGCCATGGGCTCTTCTAGTCGCTGTGCCCTGCCATCCTCCACTTGTAGTTTCTGTAAACAGCAATTTCTTGGTGGCTGCCCAAGCCTCTGCCATCATGTCTGCATTCCAGCAGCAGGAGGGACAAGAGGAAAAGGGCCCATCAGTAAATAGCACACATCCTTCTGTGCTCCCCTCCTGTCCTACTGGCCAAGTAGTCACATGGCCATGCCCAGCTGCAAGAGGCGGGGGTGTGTGGCCTTACCCATCCTGGCAGCCACATGCTCAGGAGCATGGTGGGCTCCATGGCTACTGAGGAGGGGGCAGCCTGAGACTGGCCACAGCGTCTCTGTCCCAGCAGGAGCCCTGTGGCACTGGCAGGATCGGGTGTTGGGACATGTGGGGAAAGGCGCCCCGAAAGCCACCGGCCCTCACAGTCCCCTGCGTCCCTCTCTACAGTGAAGGCAGCAACCTCACCCCCGCCCACCACTTCCAGGACTTCCGGTTCAAGACCTACGCGCCCGTGGCCTTCCGCTACTTCCGGGAGCTCTTTGGGATCCGGCCCGACGACTACTTGGTGAGTGGGAGCCGCCCAGGGCCTGGCCAGCCGCGGGTGGGCCGGGGCCGTCCGGCTAGAGCCTGCCAGGAAGGACGCCCGAGCTCACCACGCGGGACCGTCTGCCAGCGGACAGACATTGTGGACCCTGGTCTCGTGGCCCAGCTGCCGTCCCCACGTGGGCTCCAGCCCCTCGGGCAGAGCTGACGCACGGCTCAGCTGCAGCAAGCTTGGGAACAGGTCTCGGCCTGTGCCTGGCAGGGCTGTGCGCCCTCCGTCCCCTGCTGCCCTCTCTGGGCGCCTCCCTCCCTCCGCCCGAGGAGGCCAGCGGTGTCCCTGTCTTGCAGTACTCCCTGTGCAACGAGCCTCTCATTGAGCTGTCCAACCCGGGCGCCAGCGGCTCCCTGTTCTACGTCACCAGTGACGACGAGTTCATCATCAAGACCGTCATGCACAAGGAGGCCGAGTTCCTGCAGAAGCTGCTGCCCGGCTACTACATGGTGCGCGGCCTGCGCGGCCCCCGCCCCGCCCCGCCCCTGAGGCCCTTCACCTGCAGCGGCAGGCCCGGCTGGCTGTCCCCTGGCAGGGAGGGGAGGACACTCGCTGCCACTTGCCCCCAGCCCCCAGGAGTCCTGGGTCCCAGAAATCCTGTCCCTGAGCAACAGTGTCTCTGGGCTGCCCCCAAGCCCAGCGATGGTGACTCAGGCAGGGGGAGGGGACAGCCTCCAGCCGGTGCCTCACCAAGGAGCAGCTGCTTGGGTGGGTGTGGGGTGGGCTCCCTCTGCCTCTCGGCCCCTCGTGACTCACACAGAAAGGGCTGGGCCCCCGGGTGGGAGAGGGCAGGATGAGCCACGGCCCCGGGTGCGGATGCAGGGTGGACGTCCCCTCCCCGGCGGAGCCCAGTGCTGGGCATGGGGACCGCCCCGGCGGCTCGGTCCAGCCTGTGCTCGGTGCCCTGCTGGGTCCTCCTCTGCTGGCTCGCTCAGGGGAGCGCTGGGCTCTGCTCAGCGGGGTCCCCACCCCGGACTGTGAAGGGCCAGTTGGTTTTTGCCTCGAGAGCCAGGCCTGGAGGGACAGGCCCAGGGCCCGGCCAGGGCAGGCAGGGGCCGGCAGGGGCTTCACGACGAGGGCCCGCTCCTGGGCCCTGGGGGCTGCGGGAGGCAGGGGTTCAGAGGCTCCGCTGAGGCCCGCCACCACCCTCGTCTGGCAGAACCTGAACCAGAACCCGCGGACGCTGCTGCCCAAGTTCTACGGGCTGTACTGCGTGCAGTCGGGGGGCAAGAACATCCGCGTGGTGGTCATGAACAATGTGCTGCCGCGCGTGGTCAAGATGCACCTCAAGTTCGACCTCAAGGGCTCCACGTACAAGCGGCGGGCCAGCAGGAAGGAGAAGGAGAAGAGCGCGCCCACCTACAAGGACCTGGACTTCATGCAGGACATGCCCGAGGGGCTGCTGCTGGACACCGACACCTTCAGCGCCCTGGTCAAGACGCTGCAGCGGGACTGCTTGGTGAGGCCGCCCCGCCCACCGCCAGCCCATCCCTGCAGAGTCCCGGGCCCCGCCTCAGGGTGCCCCGCCAGGAGCCCTCTGCTCCCCTGCCCCTCAGATGGGAGCGTGCTCCATGCACCGCGGCGGGCTGCAGTGTCCAGATGGCCAGCCCGCACCCTACGGAGCCTGCACAGGCTGTCAGTGGAAAGAGCCGGACGTGGCTTCTGCTGTGTCCTGTGGCCTTGGCCGGGCACCCCGGCACCCCAGGTCCCCGCCTCCTCAGAGCCGAGGAGCGGAGGCCCCGGCCTTCAGGAGTGAGCCTGGGTTGTGGTCCCAGCCTGACTGACCGCACCCCGCTCCCAGACCTGTCCCAGAATGCAGCCAGACCCTCCGGAGCCTGGCAGCTTCCCGCCGTCCCCACGTCCTCTTGTCCCTGGCCCAGTTCCCCACTGTCCCCATGTCCTGAGTGTCCCTGGCCCGGCTCCCCACTGTCCCCACGTCCTGAGCGTCCCTGGCCCAGCTCCCCACTGTCCCCAGAGGGAGCCCGCCCTCACCTGGGCACAGGACTGTTGCCCCAGCCTGGGCGGACCCCTTGTCCCTGGGGGGACGACAGGCCTCGGGCGGCTGGGGTCCCTGCTGGGCCTGTGTCCGGCCGGTCCAGCGCCCTGTCCCTGCCAGGTGCTGGAGAGCTTCAAGATCATGGACTACAGCCTGCTGCTCGGCGTGCACAACATCGACCAGCAGGAGCGGGAGCGGCAGGCCGAGGGCGCCCAGGGCAGCGCGGACGAGAAGCGGCCCGTGGGCCAGAAGGCGCTGTACTCCACGGCCATGGAGTCCATCCAGGGCGGGGCTGCCCGCGGCGAGGCCATCGAGATGGATGACACGTAGGTGGGGTGCAGGCCAGCGCTGTCCCTTCCATCTGGTCCTCGTCTGCACTGGTGTCCCCGGGAGGGTGGTGACGGTGCCCATGTGTGGACAGAGCATCCAGAGACACCTTGCCGGTGACATGGGATATGGTGCCCACCTCTGGGGCATTAGGGAGGTGACCTGCCAGGGTTCTGGGCCCTGGAACTCAGTGACAGGGGCACTCCAGGTGACAGGTGGAGGCAGCTGGCTGGGGCCAGGGTTAAGATGTGACCAGGCACGATGCCCTGGGGCGGGCACAGGCCCTAGGCCACCGCCGTGGTGGGACACTGATCGGCAGTCTGGGTCCGGCTGGGCAGCTGCAGGTGCACAGCCCGGCACAGCTGTGCCCTGAGCCCGTGTCTTGGCGTTTTAGGGTCTGCGGGGCCGGCAGGGAGCAGGTGAGCTGAACCTGCCTGGGGTGGCCTGCGTGACGGCCCTCGGGCTGCCCGGGGCCTGGGGCTGTGGCGGCTTTGGGGCAGCTCGCCCGCGTGACCTCACTAACTGCACCCCGCAGGGCGCGGGTGTGGCCGAGCGTGTGACTAACGCGGCCGCAGAGTGTGGGGTGCATGTGCCTGTGCCCAGCCTGCGCCTCGAGCCTGGGATCTGGGCAGCACCCCACCCCTAGTGTGGAGTTGGAGCAGGACCCTGGCTGCCACCCAGTCGCTGCGGGATGGGTGCCCGATGCTGGACCCCACCCCAGCTGCCATGTGGGAGCAGAAGGCCCAACCCTGCCATTGACTGTGCGCCCCCCCCCCAGGATGGGCGGCATCCCTGCCGTGAATGGCCGCGGGGAGCGGCTGCTGCTGCACGTGGGCATCATCGACATCCTGCAGTCCTACAGGTGCCCGGCCACCGCCTCCGGAGCCCTGGGAGGGAGAGCCTGGGGGGCCCTGAGGGAGCCTGGGGGCCCTCCTGGGCGCTGACCTGCCCGTCCCTCTCCTGCAGGTTCATCAAGAAGCTGGAGCACACCTGGAAGGCCCTGGTCCACGACGGGGTGCGTGGCTTGCTGCTGCTTTTTGCCCATCAGCACACGAAAGCCCTGACCGCCCCTAGGCCTAGGTCAGGAGAAGCACAGGCAGCCACCCGGGGAGGGGACCGCGGGACAGCTGACCCATCAGTCAGTGTCCGGCCTGTCCGGCGTGCGGAGTCCTGCTCTGGGGGCCGAGGGCAGCACGGCTGCGCTCTGACCCCGCCGACCCACACACGTCTTCCCGTGTGCACCGGTCGGGTTGTCCCGGGAAGCGTACCAGGGCCAAGTGCGCGGGGCCTGAGACCCTGTCTGCCCCACAAGCGGCCGCTCCCGTGTCCTCTGAGGACTGAGACGCACCGCGGTCTTGTGGGTGGTGGACTCCTGCAGCCCCCACTCAGGCAGCTCTGACCAGCATAGGCAGTCTGCCCAGTTGAAGGCCCAGAGGAACGCTGGAAGCATCTAGAAGCAGAAACTTCCAGAACACACACCAAGCAGGTCAGCGTGGCAGGGCGTGGCACAGCAGCAGGGCTGTGGGTCGTGAGCCTCGGCTGGGTCGCCTGCCCATGATGGGTCGAGCCGTCTGGTCCTGCTCGGCCAGCCAGGTCTTCCCTCTGCTGCTGCTCCACACCCCGGCACTGTCCTTGTCCCCAGGCCCAGGTGGGACACCCTCACTGCAGCCAGAGGAAGGGCACCGGGCTGGGCAGGGCCAGGGGCTTCACAGCACTGGCTTGTGCCCAGGGCCGGGACGTGATCCCATGCCACACCTCAGCCAAGGAGGCTGTAGGCCACCTCACATCACAGCCATGGGGACATTTGTGGCTGGGAAGCTGCTGGCCCAGAGTGGGTGGGGGTGGGGACAGTGCTCCTCACCCTCTGGCTGCAGGATGGCCCCTCCCCACCCAAGACTGGTGCTCTGCCAAGTTTGAGAATGGTGCTGGGGACCAACTGTGTGCCAGGCTCCCTGCCTGGTGTAAACCTACTGTGTGCTGTGGCCATGGCCCTGTGGTCTGCCCAGTGCCGAGGACCACAGCTGGTCCACAGCTGCACCACTCTGCGACCGGGCACTAAAACAGAGACACCTGTGCGTGGGGTGGTATTTGCCCAGCAGGCGTGGGCCAGGCTCCGCCCCCGTTTCCGGGTCCCCCAGGTCTCTGGGTGCTGCCTCACCCGCGTCGGAAGGCTCGGTGCAGCTCTGTCTGCAGCGGGAGACCCCCTTCCCTGCCACCGTTTCCCGTGGGAGCTGCTGCTCCCTGTTCCTGGGGTCCCCTCTCAGAAGCCGTGGCACTTGAGAGTGCCCCTTGCCCCAATATGGCACCTGTCCCGGGAGCGCATTCTCAGTGTCTCGGGACACCTGACCCCGGGGTGTGCTTCCCTCCCAGGACACGGTGTCCGTCCACCGCCCCAGCTTCTACGCAGAGCGCTTCTTCAAGTTCATGAGCAACACCGTCTTTCGGAAGAACTCCTGTGAGCTGCCTGCACCCCTGGGGGGACTCTGAGGACAGGGCGCTGGGAAGGGGGGCAGTGACCACAAAGCCCTTTGACCTGCCCCAGGCCAGGGACCTCCTTCAAAGCCCAGGAGCTAAGTCCCTGTTCACTGTGTTGCTGTCCTGGAGGCCACTGGCCCAGAGGCTAAAACCCGCCTCAGGCACTCGACGGGCGCATTGGGCTGGGGGGGGGCGGGCGGAGTGAAGTGCTCCCCAAGGTCCCGGCCGGACGGGGGGCTGGGTAGAGCCCTGCTGTCGCTCAGCTGATTGCAGCACCTGCTCTGCTCTTTCTGGCCCCCACCCCAGGGGACAGTCCTGGTGCTGGTCCCCAGGAGTCTGAGAGAAGCAGAGTGGGGTCAGCAGGAGGTACCCAGCCTCCCTGGCACCTCCTGTGAGGAGTGTCCCTGGCCTGGAGGGACGGGCAGGTCAGACTGTAGGCCAGGCAGGGATCCTGGGGCAGCTGGTGCTGAGGAGTGGACACTGTCCAGTGGCTTCCAGCACAGGTGCCCTCCCTCCCTCCCTCCCTCCCAGCTCTCAAGTCTTCACCTTCCAAGAAGGGCCGAGGGGCCTTGCTGGCCGTGAAGCCCCTGGGGCCCAGTGCCGCCTTCTCCGCCAGCCAGATCCCCAGTGAGCGGGAGGACGGGCAGTATGACCTGCGGGGCGCCCGCAGCTACCCCACGCTGGAGGACGAAGGTGACTGCCCGTCTCCCAACCCTGGGGTCCACAGAGGGCAGACGTCGGGGCTGGGCCTGGGACAAGAGCTGCGAGGAGAGCAGAGCATGGCAGACACGCGTGCCTGTCACCAGAGGGAGCTCTCCATGGGGCAGGGCACAGAGCCCCAGGCAGGACCAGGCCGGTGTGGGGGCGAGAGCCGGGGCACCACTGGGCCTTGGGCAGCTGCCCCCGGCTTCCTGCCTCTTGCAAGCTGCAAGGGCTCTTCCACCATGTTCCCGCCAGAGGCCAGGTCGGGAGACGGAGGTGGGAGGTGGGGACGCGCCGCGGTGTGCCCAAGCAGGAGGTGCTGGCCACGACGGTGGGGCAGCAGCTCCTGGAGTGCCCGCCGCCTCTTCCCACAGGTCGGCCTGACCTCCTGCCCTGCACGCCACCCTCTTTTGAGGAGGCCACCACAGCCTCCATCGCCACGACCCTGTCATCCACCTCCCTCTCCATCCCTGAGCGGTCCCCCTCCGAGTCCTCGGAGCAGCCTCGGTACAGGTGGGTGGGGCATCCTGTCGTGGGGGTGGCGCTCCCTGCAGGTGAGCGGGGCCATGGTGCAGGGGACGGCGACCTGTCCCCCTCCTGGGCTCTGAAGGCCGACCTCAGCCCCTCACCTGCTGCGGTCTCTCTGCAGGCGGCGCACGCAGTCCTCTGGACAGGATGGCCGGTGAGCCCCCAGCCCCGTCCCCTTGGGCCCCAGCTACCCACTCCGGTGCCAGCGACCTTTGCCCTCTCTGGTATTGGGGCACAGAGAGGTGGTGCACGCTCAGGCCCTGTGCCAGCGTGTGCTGCCCCTCCTGCAGCAGGGCAGGGACTGTTGGGCACCAGGATCGCAGAGGAACCAGCCTCAGGCTGGGACTCCTCACGGGATGGCAGCTGGGCCCTGGCCTGGAAGGACGTGGTCGCTTCTGCCGTGGGAAGGGGTCGGCCTCAGCTCCCCGTTGCCCACAGGCCCCAGCAGGAGCCGCACGTGGAGGAGGACCTGCAGCAGATCACGGTGCAGGTGGAGCCTGCGTGCGGCGTGGAGATGGCGGTCCCCAAGGAGGAGGACGCGGGGTGAGTGCAGCCGTGTGGGAGGAAGAGCGGCAGTGCCCAGGGGTGGCCACACGGTGACTCTTTTACTGGTTAAGGATAGTGCCTTTATTGTAGCTTCTTTGATCTGAGACACTGAGTCGCATGACTATACCCCTAGGGGACCCTGGGCAACGTTCCAGGCATGTGCAGTATCCTGACCGGGGTGTCCTGGCTCAGCATCTGGCCCCCATGTCCACAGCGCCCAGGGGGCCCTGGATGAGTCTCTGAACGCCGAGGATATGAAGATTTCTGTTTCCCTGTTTTGCTTATTTGTTTCTAACTTTGTGAGGGTTGTGGTTTTTGTTGCTCTGGGCAGGGCTGGGACCGAGCTGCCCCAGCGGCCCGCCCTGCCGTTCTGTCTTAAGATGGGGCCTTGCTGGGTGGCTGCGCTGGCTTCTTCCTGTCCCGGCCTGAGTGCTAGGGCCCGCGGTGCGGCCCCTGCGCTGTCCGCACCTTCCTGGCTCTGCTCAGAGGCCCAGCAGCGCAGGCTGCCAGGCTGCGTCCCTGCTCCTGAGCGTGTTCACACCCAAGTCTCGGCCACTCCCACGCGGTTGTAGGGACCGCCTCAGCACACACCCAGGACAGTGTTAGCACGTCACTCACAGCCGGAAAGGAGGCACCAGGCCGGAGCCTCAGTGGGCATGACCTTGGGAGGCTTTGCACTGGGCCTGGCATGGAGCACGCGAGCTCCGTGAAGAGGACACAGCAGTCCCCGCCCCACGGGGGAGACACTGCTCAGAGAGGGCATGTGACCTCCCAGAGTGGCCAGCAGGTCACTGCTCAGCAGCAGCACCACAGGCGTCCTGTCTGCCCGCAGGAGGGGGGCGTGCCTGGCAGTGTCAGCTTCAGGGTCCCCGCTCCCTCGCAGGGAGCGCAGCTGTTGACGCCCCTGCCGAGGCTCCTGAGACGGGGAGAGGCGGGGAGGACCTGGGTGAGGGCCGGAGGCTGGTGCTGCCCAGAACGGCCCAGGACCTTGCCTCTGCCCACGTCCCAGGGTGGAGGCCTCCTTGGCCGGTGCATCTGCCACCACCGTGGAGGTGGAGACGGCCAGCCAGGCCTCGGAGCCCGCCAGCCAGGCCTCGGACGAGGAGGACACGCCTGCGGCGGACATCTACTTCGTAAGTGCCCAGGCCTTGGGCCCCGTGGAGGCCAGCTCCAACCCCTGAGGTGTCCGTCACCACACGCTGCCCCGCGTGTGCACATGCGTTCTCACCTCGCACGTGTGCACGCTGCCCAGTGCACTCTCGTCACCGGCACACTCGGCGCACTCACGCACACAGGCGCTGTCCTGGCCTCAGGCTGCTCGGTCACGCTCACCTACCTCCCAGCTCTCCCCTCCAGGGCCTCAGCCCTGCCCTAGGCCCCCAGGCTGGGCTCCAGGCTCTGGGTGACCCCAGGTCCCCGCCCAGCCTGGTCACCACCACCTGATTGTGCCACCGTCTCTGGCACCTTTGACTCTCGGCCCTGCTGGGCCCACACTGAGACCCAGGCCGGGCGAGGCCCTGCGTCTGGACTGCTGGGACAGGCCCCGAGGCTTGTCCCCCTGGGTCGGGGCTAGGCCAGGTGCGCTCTGTCCTCCTGGAAAGCAGGAGGGCCTCCTGCTGCCCGCGGGGCCAGGGACCGTGGTACCTGGGCAGGCCGGCTCTGTCCTGCCCTCCCCAAGCCAGGCGCTGCCGCCACCCCACAGGTAGACCTAGTGTGTGTGGGGCTGCAGTCCAGGCTGCTGGCCCCCAGGGGGGGTCCTGGGTTCTCCACCCCACTCAGGGTCAGACAGTCTCAACTGCAACAGGAGAGGCCAGGGACGTCATTCTCTGGGGGACGGTCACCCAGGAGCTGGCCAGGCCAGCAGTGCTTCCTCACTAACGCGCCTCCTGTCTCTGAGCCGAGCCTGCCGGGGCCCAAGACTCCCCTCTGGCCCTGGAGAAGGATGGAGTGGGCCTGCGCCGTCGCCCCACACCCGGGCTGCTGTGTGTCCTGGTCTGCGTGGGGCCCGTGGGCTGGTGTCCTGCCGAAGGACTGTCTCCACGCTGGGTGGGCCGCAGAGCAGTGCAGGCCCCTGCATGCCCACTCCCGCTTGGCCGCTGGCTTGCCCGACTCCACCCGCCTGGCTCCAGGACTCCCGGCCTCACCCTCTCCTCTCTTCCTCCTCCCTCTGGCCCATGGCCCGAGCAGTTCACCGATGGGAGGTACTGGATTTACTCTCCCCGCCATCGCCGACTGCGGGCCGTGATGCCGAGCCCCTCGGGGACTGTAAGTGACCGCAGCTGGCCCCTGGGGAGAGGGGCCTCGCCCACTTTGGGGCAGCAGGGAGCTGCAGGTCCCCGACAGAAACTCCTCGGAGGACTTAGGAAAAGGGCAGGAGGTGGCGGCAGCCAGGCTTGCCCCCAGGGCGCCCTGCTGGGTGTGGGTCGAGGGAATGTCACCTAGTCCCAGATCAAGCGGGCACTGAAGAGAGTGCGTGTCTGCGGGTCTGTCCTGTGGGCCACGGGGTGGGGTCCACTCCAACTCCAGCCTGCCTTGCCTCCCCCCCAGCCCTCTTGTCACGCGGTAGGTGGCCTCTTGTCACCACCCAGCCTCGCCGGTGAGGGCGGTTGGGGCCAGCAGGGCAGCTGCAGCACTGGCCCCTAACTGCAGCCCGTTGAAGTGTGCGTCTCACAGGGGCAGAGGCCAGCTCCCCAGAGGGACCACAGCCCACGGCTCAGGTCCTAGACGCAGGGCTCGCTGGTCACTAGGCACTCGCCCCCCGCGTCTGGGATGCCACACAGATGTTATGTAGCCATGGTGTCACTGTCCCCGAGAGGCTGAGTCGCCCACTCTGAGCTGCACAGCACTTGCTCGGCCAGCCCAGGCGTGGACCCGGGAGCTCGTTCTGCAGCTGGAGCCCCTCAGGGCTGCCCAGCCCTGTCAGCAAGCCCCCTGGGTATGGCTGTGCGCTGGGCACGTCCTCTGCCCGGCAGTCCCGGTGTCCAGCTGAGCCCGCAGTGGTGATCAGGGATGCCACACCCCTGAGTCGGCTGCCACCCAAGGCTTGGGCTGGGGGCTGGATGCACCAGCAGCCACGAGGGCCTTGGAAAGGTGGGAGAGGAAGGGGCTGGAAGGGGACATGGTGGGAGCAGCAGGCAGCAGCTAAATGTGGGGGGCACCCAGAGCTGGAGGAGCCAGAAGGATGGTCACCTGGGGTCCTGGCCACTTGGCCAGCTGGCAGCTGCAGGGCCCCTCTGTCCTACTTCTGGAGAAGGGGCAGCTGGCTGCACTGCCTTTCTAATGTGGCCACCGAGTGTCTGCTGCCAGGGACCCCTCCCAGGAGCAGCGTGGCCTACAGGGCTTGGGGCTGCTGCCAGCCTCCCTCCCGGGGTTGGCCCGTCTGGGCCTTAGGTGGAGACCCTCCTCACATCCCCGCTGCTGGACCCCAGTTGGTGCTGGTGGAGCTGGCGGCTCTGTCACCAGCCCAGTACCTGTGACAGCGGAGGGGGCCTGAGCTGGTTCCCAGGGCTGGAGGCGGCTCCAGAAGTCAGGGCTTTTGCAACTCCGTGGAGCCTGCAGGCCCCTGCTGGGCCAGGCCACTGAGCAGGGGTCGCCGCCCACAGTGCCCAGCAGCCTGGGCCAGTTCACATGGCCAGGGGATCGAGCAGGAGTCGTAGCTGAGTGGGCGGGGGGGCCTTCTGGGTGGAGGGGGCCTCACAGGGCCAGGTGGCGGGTGCAGGAGCCTGGGGCAGAGCCAGAGCAGACCAGGCCAGGTCAGCCAGCGCACTGGGCCACATGCCGGCCCTTGCCGTTCACGGACAAGGAAGCAGCAGGCCCTGGACAAGAGGCTGGGCAGGTCCCGGCATTGATGGGCCTGGGGCAGCGTATGGGCTGTGGCTGTGAGCTTAGGGGTCAGCCAGGGGACTCTCAGAGAGCACGGCCAGGTAGGCAGGTGTTGGGGCCCGGGAGCCGCCCAGAGGGTCCTGGAAGTCTAGTGTCGAGGGAGGCCCTGGGGGGGCAGGGTATGAGAAGGCCCGAGAACATTGGAGCCAGGCCTCTGGAGCTGGAGCCGATCCTGGAGGGACAGGGATGGGCACCCTCCCTCCTCCAGACCCTTCTCCTGATCCAGACCCTTCCCCAACACAGCCAGGCCCAGGTGGCCCAGCAGAGGCCAGAGTGCAGCTCCGCCTGGCCCAGCCCTGGGCCTGGCTCACTGGGCCCCAAGGAAAGTCCTGTGCCTGGGACAGCCTGAGCTCCTGGGTGCCACCCATGTTCAGGTGCTGACCGTCCTCTGCATGGTCCAGAAACAGGTGGGCGCCCAGAGCACCCAGGACCTTCCGTGAGGGTCCCCGGGACCCTGGTGCCTGTGGCAGGTGGGGGAGGCTGGGAGGAGCCCCTGCTAAGACAGAGGCCAGGCTGCACTCGGCGCCCCCTCCTGTCCCCTGCTGTCTCGGCCACCTCAGCTGATCTCACCGCTGCCTGCTGTCTGCCCGTCAGCGCTCTCCCAGGGCCGCGGGTGGGGCAGAGCGCAGTGGAGAGGGCATCGGGCCTGGCGCCCCGCACCCTGCCCGGGCGCTGCCTCTTTTATTCTCTCTGTCTTTCTTCCTCTCCTGCCTGCCTCGCCCTCCTCACCCTGCCCTCCTGCGCCCCCGCACGCGCACCCGCCACCCGCAGCCCACCGACGAGAGGAGCTGGGTGTACTCCCCGCTTCACTATAGCGCGCAGGCCCAGCCCGCCCCCGATGGCGGCGGCGGCGGCAGCGGCAACAACACAGTAAGTGGCCGGTGGCCGCCGGCCCAGGCCGAGCCCAGGCGGCCAAGAGGTCAGCTGGGGAAGCAGGCGGGCGGGAGGGTGCAGGCGGCCACTCTGCCTGGGTAAGTACCCAGCCTGGCAGCCTGGCACCAGGCGTGGTCAGGTGGGGTAGGGCCCACACAGGGGCCCGTGGGTGGCACGGGGCGGGCGGCCGCAGCACCCCTCACCCGCCCCCGCTCTTGCAGTAATCTCTATGCAGCCCCCAACCTGGAGCCGAGCGCCCAGAGCGCCCACGCCGCGTGCTGCTCAGAGGCGTCACCTACCCCCGAGGCCTGGAGCCCGGAGACCTGGCCCAACCTCATCCTCCTTCGTCCTCCGGGGACACTGATGGCCGAGCCCCTCCCCACCCCGACAGCTCTGGGCCACCTGGCGACCTGGGGCGTGGCGCCTGGCGACCAGCTGCGCCCACAGGACGACGACCCCCAGAGCGTCACCGTGTATTTATTTTGGTCCTCGCTCCGCACAGGACGGAAGCACCTGCGTGCTTTTTTAGAGAAAAAAAAAAAGAAACAGGAAGAGACTCCACCGCTGCTCTGCGGCCCATGTGCTGGCCCGTCTGCCACTCCAGGGACCGGCCCAGCTGCCCAGAGCCCACACTCCATCTCAGCCCGGCGGCCTGGGAGGAGACCCGTGGCTGAGAGGGCAAAGGCCACTGTCTCTGAGGTCCTGAGGCCACCCGTCCTCACCTGGAAGCAGGATCCCCCTCCCTCGGCCCAGGTGGGGGCCCTTGCGAGGCACGACATCCCTCAGCAGTGGCCTTCACACCTGTCTCCAGCCACTAGGAGGGACGGCCCGAGACTGGGCATCCAGCAAGGAGGTGGCAACCCAGACCTGGCACTGGGCGCCCCTACAGCTGCTCCCTCCTGGCGGAGCCCAGGGCCGGGGCCAGGTGGAGGGGGGACTGGCTGTCCCTGCCCAGCTCACTGGTGCCAGTGGAGAGGACCCCCTGGGGACACACCCCTTCAAAGCAGTGTCCAGCTTTGGGAGGAGAGGCGGCCAGACCTCCGGTCACTGGGCACCACGGCTGGCATCCCAGTGGGGGCCAGGCTGTGCTCAGGCCTGCGTGGCGCGTCGGGGCAATGTGCCCCAGGGGGGTGACCCTCTTCAGGGATGGCCATGCCTGTCTCCACTGGTCATCTCCAGCAGGGACACCTGCTCCTAGGGGGACAGTGACCCCAGAGCCCCATTGGGCAGTCACCTGGGCCCTGCTGTGTCTAGAGGGGCAGGTTGGAGCCACCACTGCCTCCCACAGGACCCCTGGAGGGGCGTGTTGGGGTGGCAGGGCCTCAGTGGGCACAGGGGGAGTGGACCTGCAGCAGAGGCCGCTCTGGCCCTCGCAGGGCAGAACGGCACAGGGACCAGTCCACCCGGGAATGCGAAAGCCTGACCCATCGCCTTGTGCCTCCCTGGCTGCTGCTCAGGCCCTCCCGGTCCCCCCTGCAGCAACGGCAGGGCCCCGGTCATCTCACGACCCTCACCTGGCGGCTGATGCAGGGGCTCAGAGACCCCATCAGGAGGGGCCTATCTGGGGTCCCCAGGACCCGCCTGTCTCTGCCCAAGGAGGGTTTGTTCAGACAGAGCGTCCTTGGCCCTGTGTGCTGTCCCTGACGGTCCCTGCCCTTCCTCGTGAAGGACACCCAGCAGAGATCGCAAGGGGCATTTAGGATCTGGGTGACTCGCAGGCACAGCTGCGTTGTCACTGCACCTGGGTCCCCGGGGCCTGGCGCCGGGAACAGGAGCCGTGGGCACCACCCCTCGTGCAGCCGTGCCGTCCAGGGTGACTTGGCAAGACAGGGAGTGGCTGCTGCAGCCCCTTGGGCCTGGGGATCAGAGGCCACGGGTGCTGGTGCGGCCACAGCAGGAGAGACTCAGAAGACCCCATGGACGTCACAGAGTTCCATTTTTGTGTTAAGTGTCACAAAGAACCCCTTGGAGATCTGTGTGGTGTGGTGTTTTTTTCCTTTTGGGGACTGTCAAGCGGATGTTAAAGAGCCCCTCTGAGCTTGTCAAGAGCCATGTTTGCTTACGATTTGGGGGGCTGGGGAGCAAAGGCCTGTTTCTGATGCTGGGTGCACTCCTGGCCTCCTCAGACTCCCCGAGAGGGAGGCACTGGGCTCACCGGCCGCCTCCCCTCCCAGGAGGTCTGTGAATACTGTCGTGATCTGCTGCCCGGCTCGGCCTCTGATGGCTACTACTGCTGCGGCTGTGTCTGGTGTCCGGATGCAGCTGTGAATCCTAAAGAACTCGGAGGCCGACAGGGTGGAGACTCCCACAAGTCCTCTTCCAGCCTCTGTCCTTCTAAGCCATTCCAATGCGTCCCTGTGCACCCCACACCTGGCTCAGTGCAATACTCCTGTCCCCATGGGGTCCCATGCCATGGTACTCTCGCCGCAGCCCCTCGGTCCCCACCCCAGGACAACACCCCCCCTTTTTCTCTGGTGGTTGAAAACTGCGTCCCCTGACCCTGCCCCGTCTTGTTTCTATGGCCGAGCCAATTCCAAAACAACTGCAAACCTTGTGTGTCTTAACTATCACCGGGGGTTCCTCGTCCTCAGCCCCTGGGGTCTGGTGTGTGACAATCCAGAGCATGGCTTCCCCTGGCACTGACAAGGAGGCCGTGTCCCTCCAACCCAGAGCGCGGGGTGCCTCGGACAGTGCGGCTGCTGCTGGCCCCAGATAGCACTTGTACGCAGCTCGGGCCCCACCCCCACCACTCCCCCCTTTTTATGTTGAGGATATTCTAATAAATCGGGTATAAACATCGACCTGCCTCTGCTGCCACTCTGTGGGTTCTGCGGTTTGGCTGGGGGTTAGAGACCACTGAATCGCAGCCAAAGGAAACGTCTGTGGGATTTTAACAATAGTGAGACCCACCTGCCATCCCACTGACCCCAGAGGCTGAGGCAGGAGGGTCCCTTGAGCCCTGCCGTCTGGGGCCGCCTGGGCAACCCAGTAAGGCCCAAGAGGTGAGTAGGCGTGACCTCCTCTGCACTCGAGTTCTGCTCAGAAAACACTTCCAAGCCTTCCTGTGTCACCCAGGAGTCCCAGCTCAAAGGAACAGACCCCACCCCCAGAGTCTTCACTCCTTCTTCCAGAGTTGACCCAAGGAAGTGAAAGACGGATCTCTTTGGGAGGAAAATGATTCTCTAAAATTGAGAGACTGCCCTGAAGGCAGGCCCTGGCTGTAAGCAAGCCCTGGGAATGCTGGTTGGTTGCAGAGGTGGACTTGGAAAGAGCAGGCCCTGTGAGATGGACACAGAGGTCTCTAGATTTCTTCCTGGCCTCCAATAATAGCACGTTCTGCTGAGGATGTCGCTTGGGTACAGTGACCCACATGTGCAAACCCGGGTCTGCAGACAAGAAGAAGATGGGCTCCCGGGGGCACATCTGCGTGTTTCAGAACTGGAGACCAGGGCTCCTCTCATTGGGCCCATCCTGTCACCTCCCGTCCCGTGGCCTTTGGCAGGACCACCACCGGGAGCAAGAGGAGCGGGTCCTGGGTATCCTTTGGAGGAGCAGAGCACACACAGGAGTGTTGAGAGCACAACCCAGTCAAGATGGCGCCTGGCATTTTGTAAGAAGGAGTGGTGGAGGGGTAGCGCCAGCCAGTCATTAAGATGATGATGGTTGAGTTGAGCTGTGTGTAATTATTGGGATGATGACTGCTGTAACTGGATGATGCTAAACTGAAGCAAGCTGTGTATTCAGTTGTGTATACAAACCTCTGCTGTCTGGCAATAAGGCGGCTCCTGCTACCTCGGGTGCCCGCTACTTTTGAGTTCTCGCGGGGTTCCCGTTGAGTTCCCATTGAGTTCTCGCGGGGTTCCCGTTGAGTTCCCGTGGATTTCGAGTGGAATCCGCGTGGGTTCTCGAATAAAGTTCGTTCCTGCTTGAATCTACAAGTGGCTCGTTACACCACCCCCCCACCCCCCAATATTTGTGCCCAGCCAGACTGCGGCATTTGGTGGCCCATGCGAGGAACGCCTGAAGCTTGGGGGTAAGTGAAACTGCTCGCCCCTGAGGGCAGGGCAAGAGAATGGGTGACCATTTCAAAAAACAATGTGTTCTTGTTTTGATTTGTTACGTTTCTGTTTCAAGCTGCCTGTCCCTGGAACTTTCTCAGGCAAACTGGGGAAAGTGGTTGGCTCAAGGTTTGAAGTTGTTTGCCCCTGAGGAAGAGACAGAGATAGACCACGGATACACATGTCAAGAAAATAGAAAAACTGATACAACAGATTTTTGTTCCATTTTTGTTTCGTTTTATTTCGGTTTTCTTTTGTTTTATCTTGTTGGGTTGCATTATCTTTATAGCAGAAATATGGAATTAAAAATTAGTAAAAACCAAACTGAAAGGGTGTTAAGTAAATTGCTAGAGGAAGGAGGCATCTCAGTAAAGTCAAGAACAGTTAGGGCATACGTTAAGACGATAAAAAGGTGTAGTCCATGGTTCATTAAAGAGGGGTTGTTAGATATATCACAATGGAACCATCATGGTGAAGATTTAAAAAGGATAGAAAAGGGCTGGGGATGTGGCTCAAGCGGTAGCGCGCTTGCCTAGCATGTGTGCAGCCCAGGTTCGATCCTCAGCAGCACCACATACCAACAAAGATGTTGTGTCCACCGAGAACTAAGAAAAAATAAATGTTAAAATTCTCTCTCTCTGTCCCCCTCTCTCTCACTCTCTCTAAAAATAAAAAATAAAATAAAAAATAAATAAAAATAAATAAAAAGGATAGAAAAGGAAAGCCCAGGAACTCTGCCAGTTGGCACATTGCCATTGTGGACGTTGGTACAATCTTGTTTGCTTAGTCTAGGAGAAGACATCCTACATCAAGTAAAAGAGGAAGTCTCTCGAGTTAGTCAGACGGGGGAAGAAAGTTTAGAGGAGGAAGGGCTATCAGGGGAGGAGTTACATCAGGAGGTTGCTACTAACACCTTTCTATCACCAGAGGGCGTAAGTGTCCAACCAACAGCTCTGCCTATGGAGACAACATATGCTGAGTGGTCCTCAACCCCTGTAGTTGATAGATGGGATCCTGAGGCAGGACCTCAAAGATTAGCATGTCCTGTATTTGAGGAGGCAGGAAAGGCAGTGAATTCACCATGCTTTAGATTTCAAAACAGTGAAGCAGCTGAAAGAGGCTGTAACAACCTATGATCCTCAAGCACCCTTCACTGTAAGCTTGGTCGAATCCATTACCAACTTGGACATGACACCAGCAGATTGGGCTAGTATGTGCAAAGCTGTGCTAAATGGAGGACAATACCTGTTATGGAAGGTTGCCAATCAGGAATTTTGCACAGAGACAGCTAGGTGAAATGTAGCAGCTGACTATCCTCAGAGAAATCTATATATGTTGTTAGGAGAGGGACCTTATGAGGGTCAGCTGCAGCAAATTAGATATGCTCCTGCCATATACTCACAAATCGCTTCCGCTGTGGTTAGGGCATGGAAAACTTTACAGGGACATGGAGATTTACAAGGTCAATTATCTAAGGTAATACAAGGAGCTAATGAACCTTACGCTGAATTTATAGATAGGCTTATACAAACAGCTACCAGAATCTTTGGGGATGTAAAACAAGCAATGCCATTAATAAAACAACTAGCCTACAAACAAGCAAATAGATGGTGCAGGGAGGCCATCAGACCATGGAGACATGAAGATTTAAACACATATATTAAATTATGTAGAGACATTAATGAACAGGGGCAAGTCTTGGCAGCTGCAGTACAACAGGCTTTAGGTGCCAGGCCAAAAACATGCTACAATTGGGGACAAACAGGACATTTTAGAAGGAATTGCTCCATAGGAGGAGGGCTTAACAAAACTGGATATGATCAAAGGGGTAGAATACTGGGTATTTGCCCACGATGCCATAGAGGGAGACATTGGGCTAATTAATGCCGTTATGACTATTATATAGGGTACTCCGTTATCAAAAAACGAACAAGGACCAGGTATTTACCCACGATATCGTGGAGGAAAACATTGGGCTCAATTGCCAAAAAATGGACGGGGGGCCCAATGCTCTGGGGCCCACAACCACAAATATATGGGGCATTGGGGGAACCCAGCAACACCATCAGGGTAGTGCCCAGGACACATTGTCCATCAGATCCCTCATCAGACAAACCAGAGGGAGCGCAGGGTTGGACATCTGCGCCTCCAACAGAACAGTACTAACTCCAGAGATGGGAGTTCAAATCATTCCCACAGGGGTGAAAGGACCTCTTCCCCAAGGAACAGTAGGTTTATTATTGGGACGCAGCTCTTCTACTCTAAAAGGACTTATGATAAGTCCTGGGGTAATTGATCCTGATTATGAAGGTGAAATAAAAATTATAGCCAGTTCTCCAAAGGGTATATCAGTAATTTTACCAGGAGATAGAATAGCACAGTTACTAGTAATACCCAGCCTACATGATAAATTTTCCAGTCTTATTGTAGAAGAGGTTCCAGGGGATTAGGCTCCACAGGTGTAGACTGGGCTATGCTTTCTTTAAATTTAGATTCTCGCCCCATGATAAAACTAAATATTCAAGGACATGAATTTAATGGGCTACTGGATACAGGTGGAGACCTTAGCATCATGTCTCATCAAGAATGGCCAAAACATTGGCCGTTACAACAAGCCACTCAAACGCTTCGAGGCCAAGTGCAATGGTATTAGATTGGAAGGATCCTGAAGGATGTGAAGGAACTATACAGCCATATGTATTGGATCATCTTCCTATAAATTTATGGGGACAAGAAGTCCTAGATCAATTAGGACTAACATTAACAAACAACATCAATTCAAATGCACCCACTATTATGGCTAAACAAGGTTTTAGGAAAGGAAAAGGATTAGGAGAAAAAGGACAAAGTATAGTGGCACCAAAACAAATAGATCAAGGAACAGACAGACATGGATTGGGTTTTCAGGAGGGGACACTGAGACAATAAAAATTACTTGGAAATCAGAAAGACCAGTATTGGTTCCTCAGTGGCCCCTGACTAAAGAAAAGATACAAGCAGCCCATGAACTGGTCAAACAACAATTAGCGGAAGGACATATACAACCTTCTGTATCTCCCCATAATACTCCCATTTTTGTCATCAAAAAGAAATCTGGCAAATGGAGATTATTGCAAGATTTAAGAGCCATTAATAATGA